TTTTAGGACTACATCACTGCCCATAGGACGTCTAGTCCCGCATTATTTTAAATCACCAAATGTAAATCTAAAACTAAAATGAAATTATAAATTTTCCCAAAATTATAAAGATAAAATAAAACAACATCATAATAAATTTAAATGTAATAATAATAATGATCAATTCATTTTATATTTTTTTTAAAGAATAAGACAAGTGATCTAATAGAAATAATTTTTATATAAAAGGTATAGTGACTGACTGAAATATTAAATGTAAATAATTGTGTTAACAGTCATTATTATTATTTTGTCTATAACAGTTCGTCGTTACTATTATAACAGTTACTTTTATTTTTTGGGAGTTATACTTAAAAACAAAATTAATTTTTTTTTAAATGCTGAAATTTTTGAATCTTAGCCTCCCAAAGTACTAACAGGAAAATATGCTGAAGTAAAAAATGAAAGCATTTTTACTACATCTAATGATGGGTCTCATATGATGACAAACACTAAAAAACACACGCACACACGCACACACACACACGTGTGAAATTATTGTAAGATTCACACGTTCATCGCTCCACTTAGAACCTAAAACATGTCTACTTTCATTTGATGGGATACTTTTCTTAAGGTGAAAGGAATGATTAATTATTACTATATTATGTTCATACTAAAAATATTTATACAATATTTACATTTCTTATTTTTATTTTATTTAAAAAGCAGTTTTAACAAGATAATGTAAATATGAAAAAATATATTTTATTTTCAAGAAATAAATACACAAAACGCCTAAAGTAGTAAAAATACAATACAGGCATTAAAATAATCAGGTAATTTTATAATATATTAAAAACAATTAATAAGTTTAAATAGGTATATAGTTGTTGGTTAATTGGGTTCTGTATGAACTTATATGAAGAAAAAAATGATGTATTATGCCAAACAACCTATATTGAAAGTTCATTAACCTACCACCCACATTTTACATCTTAAACCGTTAAATTATATGAAATGATATTAGATATTACTTGATCACGTTTAGTAGGAGTAACAGTATATTTGTGAACATTAAATAAAAAGTATATATAGTGGGGAGATTGACCTAAAATAACAGTATTGTTTGAAAGACTTGACACTGACATTCGTTGTCCATGACCAAGTTCATCAACTCTTGGTTCATAATGAAAATTGTTGTTATAATCTTTATATTTTTTATTTCATCTACATCTTCAATACTTGTGGAATTATTCCAGTCAATTTATGGACAGTATCTTCGACAAGGAATTCCTTTTAGAGAAAATACTTATTTAGGTAATAAACCAATATTACATGAGTACGATTTTATAGTCATTGGAGCAGGTCCAGGAGGCTGTGTGGTTGCAAACCGTTTATCTGAACAGCCAAACTGGTCAGTACTTTTATTAGAAGCTGGTCAAGATGAATCTGTATATACAGATATACCCGGTGCAACAGGATTTTTAGAAGCAACAAATTACAATTGGGGTTATATCGCTGAACCAGTAAAAAACGGTTGTCTGGGTTTTAAAAATAATCGTTGTCCATGGCCAAAAGGAAAAGGCATGGGAGGATCGTCAATTATAAATGCCATGWTTTACACAAGAGGAAAAAAAGAAGATTATGATACAATTGCAGCACTAGGAAATGMCGGTTGGGCTTACAATGACGTGTTGCCATATTTCTTAAAATCGGAGAACAATTCAATACCAGAATATCAAAGTTCACCTTTCCATTCACAAAATGGAAATTTACATGTTGAACGAGTCAGATATCATTCACCACTCACTGACAAATTTATTGAAGCTGGGGGAGAATCAGGTTTAAATAAAAATATTGACTATACAGTTGACCCGGAAGATGGAGTATCACGTTTACAAGCCACAACTTTAAATGGACACAGAGTAAGTCCAATTAATAATTAATGAAAATGACAATCAACTTAAAGCCTACTAACTTAATGTTCAAGTCAAAGACCCCATCAAAGACAATGTATTTTACACTTAGAAGTTCTGAACCAACAACTATTCAGGTAGGTACAGGGATCATTTTTGAGAACCTTGTGTGAACACTTATGAATTAGGTCTGAATTTAAAGATTCAAAAAAGGTTGAACTAATATGATAACAATAGTTTCTAAAACAAAAACATACAAATAATACCTTTATATAAAACTAAATATAGCAATCATTAGTTACAGGCAGTACAGGGTTATAGTACCTAAATTTTGACTAGTTTTAGATTATTTTACTATTTCTTGTTTAATATTTATTTATTGTTAACATAATGTATTTATCTAGGTAGTAATTTTAATTCATATAATGTTCAGTATATTATTGAGTTTAATAGAATAAAGTGATCTCATGACACGCGCCGATTAAACAAACGCAACAAAAATAGTTTAGCGCAGGATAGAGCCACTCAGTCTGTACTCTAAATAGAAACACCAAAAGTGAACACAATATAGAAGATAATATTTTCTGTGTCGTAGTGTTTTTATTTGTTTAATATCATTTATAAGAAAAAAGTTATTATTTCTTTTAAAAATCTAATATTTTAAAATTTTCCAAACTTCAATAACTTTTGACATACTGGTTTCATCAAAAAAATAAAAATGCTGCAACGCCGTTGAAATTCAATTTTATTCCATGGTAAAAATTTGGTTTATTAGTTATAAACTTATATCTGTAAACTTCTAGGTTCTTTCCCGGATGAAACCGTTTTTGCTATAATTAGGCACATAAGACGGAGAAAACACAAGCGGATATAATGTAATCTTAATATTTTGAGCTCTTTTTTGTAACTCTAATTAGACAATCTGGGTTTAACATTGAACAATTTACCATGTTAACATAATAATTACTAGGTATTTAGTTATATGATTTAAAAATTATAAACCAACAATATCAACATAATAATTTATACCAGCTGCTGATTAAAAAGATAAACTATTATCCATACATCTAATTATTTGTTTCTGTTTAATGATTAATTTAATAATATAAGTGTAAAGATAGCATCTATAAAATTGACCTCTTAACTTAATTTATTTTAAAGAAAAAATATAAACCTAGTGTTATTTGTGATTAATGTTAGTTAAAATTTATCTTTGTTGTATAGGTAAGTGCATCCAAAGCCTATATTCGCCCAGTCAAAAATCGTCAAAATCTCCACGTGGCTATATTCAGTCAAGTAACAAAAATACTTATTGATCCAAAGACCAAAAAAACTACTGGAGTAGAATTTATTAAAAAAGGAAAACATAGAACAGTATATGTTAAAAAAGAAGTTATTTTATCTGCTGGTGCAATAAACTCTCCACAATTACTTATGTTGTCAGGTGTTGGACCAGAAGATCACTTAAATAATCTTGGAATACCAGTTATTCAAGATTTACCAGTAGGAAAAAATTTACAAGACCACTATGGCACAGTCGGTATATACACATAATTAATTTTATAGCATACTAGCTTAATTTTGAAATTGTTTTATTTTTATTATTTTGTTAAAGTTAAACAGTTATGTCTTTTGTATTATTGATTAATAAACCTAATAACATATTATGCGCTAGAAAAATCTTAAAGGGGAGTAAATCGTGTAAAAATCTACAGCTCACTTATAAAAAAAGAAACAAAATATTAGTTGATTATCTATTTCAATTGATATTTGTTTTCAAGATCTTTAAAACATATTATTTTGGTAGGATAATATCTCGGATAATATTAAATTTAATTTATAAAAGTGGGTATAAAAGTATTTATATGGCTCCATAAATTGGAATTTATCTAATGGCACTTATATACATAATAACTAATAAGTACATTGAAATATGTACCACAGTTTCAATTTGGTTGGTTAATTTAATATAACTGACTATAAAGGACTGTATTTGTATGAAATTATCTAACAAGCAAAAGTATGTGAAATATAGAACTTAAAGTAATTAATTTTTTTTTCAATAATTCACAAGGTAATTGTGTTTGAACACATTTTGCTCCCTTAGAATTAACATAGGTTAGGTTAGTTAAGTAAAATACCAATATGTTAAGACAATTTTAGAATTAATCTAGTTTTTTATAGTTTAAACTTAATATCATATATAATGAATCATTAATAATCATATATAATGAATCATTAATAATCATATTTAATGAAAATATTGTATTGTTTATTGTTTAGCATTGGAGTTCATTGTAAACCAAACAGGTCCATATCTCAACAAGCAAACTATATCAAATATTCATTTATTTGAAGAATGGTTCAAATATGGCCGAGGACCACTTACAGTACCAAGAGGAGCAGATGGTTTGGGTTATATAAGATCACCGTCCGGCAAAGAGATAGAACTAATATTTGCTCCTTTATCGGAAAAACCAAATGCATTCCTCATAACTACATTGTTGTTGCAACCAGACAGTCGTGGAAGTGTAAATTTGAAAAGCAATAATCCATTAGATTCGCCAATTATGTCTTATGGTTATTATGACAATAATACTGATCTAGAAGACAATGTATATGCGCTTAAATATGCAGTAAAATTGGTAGAAGAAACACAAGCATTTAAGGATGTTGCAGCCAAACTTAACCCAGAACCATATCCAAATTGTAGCCATCTAGTATTTAGATCTGATGATTATTGGGTGTGTTTATCAAAACACTTGACTAACACTTATCATCACCAATGCAGTACGTGCAGGATGGGTGATGTAGTAAACAATAAATTGCAAGTAATTGGTATTCAAGGATTAAGAGTAGTAGACAGCTCAGTACTTCCCCATATCCCTAGTGCACATCTTTACGCCCCTACTATAATGGTTGGCGAAAAAGCAGCAGACATGATTCGCAGTTATTGGTCAAACAATCAATGAACAAAAACCAAAAAAATGACCTTTATCAATGGACAATAATTATTTATTTATTTATTTATACCTCAAATAATATTATACTTAATAACAATTTACATACACATGCATAACTGATATAAATATTATAACTTACCAGATACAATTAGAGCTTTATTGGGTCCAACAGTGTGTATTTGTCCCATTTTTGTGTTATTAATAAATATATTTATGTTTCTTAACATACAACAAATACATAAGTACAAAAATGTATTATATTAAATCAAATTACTTGTGTTAATTCTATATTATTACAATTAACGGTTGATTTTTAATTACTATTCACTACAATTATTTCACAAAAAACTGAAAAAAAAACCATTGGCTTGTTATCTTGTGTAATGATGACTAATGGTTAATGAGACAAATGTAAATATGTAATAAATAATCTCAAAAATTGTTCAAAAATAAAAATATATTATAGACAATTTTTTAAAGATAAAAAAAATTTAATATTATTAAATAGTTATCGACATTTTAAATAAGAATAATATGCAGAATACCGATGTACTTAGTAGATAACAACATAACATTGGCAATGGCCAATAATGTATGTTATTATTATTTATTCAAAGCATTACAGCCGACGCCAAACTGTTCAGTGGTACTGCATATGAAATATAATATTACCACAGATTAAATGAAACATTACTGAAATAGTGAAATAAGAATCTATGGTACCACTGCGATATATTGCCATAATGTTGACAAGCGTCTCGGGGGAAAATGTCACGTCCAATCAAAAGCGTTCATATTTGTTATCAGTATTTGTGAAAATCGCAATTCTTATCTAATATAGTATTTATACTACCTATATAATATTATAAAATTTAAGAACTAAAAAAGTTTGAACGCACTAATCTCAGTTAATACTGGTTCGAATTTAAAAATTATTTTTTTGTTGGATTGTCCATTTATTTAGGAATGCCACGGGCTACATAAGATTTTTAGAAAGTCTACAGGTTAAGTCAGAACTTAAGAATATATAAGATATTTATGAATTTGCTATTTAAAAAAAACCGTAAAATTATCGTCGGGTATCGAAAATTCTGTCGTAATAGCACTTCGGTAGGATTAATGTACTGACTACTGAGTGTCTAGAGTTCAAACCAGTTTCGATGACTAAAACTTTTTGCACTGTTTTCACATTTTTTGTTTCGTTTTGTATTTTTTTATTACTTTTATTATTATTATTATTTTATTTTATTTTACTTTTATAGTTATTTTAGTTAGTCTAGAAATTGGTCAAATCTTAGATTTAAAAATAAAATATTTATGAATTTCAAGTTTAAAATAATTTGCGAATTTTCGTGATTTTTACGTATGATGTCAAAATTAAAATTTTGATGCTTGTAAAAAAAATGGTGACTATTTATTTCTTTTATTTTTCAAGTTCTATTGTAAAAATAAGTTGGTAGCTTTGTATTCAATTTTCAAATCTTAGATATAAAAGGAAAATTTTATAAATTTCTATCTAAGATAATTTGAACATTGCAGTAATTTTTACGTATAAAAAATAACTTTCTAACTTAACTCTAACTTTCTAGCTAGTTAGTGCCCAGCTTTGTCAGCTAGTCTTTTATAAAAATTAAAAATTATAATCTGATAATCATCATTCATCACTCATACAAGACGTGTTATAGGTACTTACCTAGTATATTTTATTTACAATAATATATTATATATTATGGTGTAAACATAGGCGTGCGCAGAGTGCAGACTTTTGGTTTCGGGGGTGCATAATCATAGATACCGTTTATTGGAGATAGTTAAAATTATTTAAAAAAAACATGAATACAATATAACGGAAATTACGGTCAGCACAACCAATGGTAGTTAAACTTGGGCCACACGATGCATTTTTCCGCGTTTGAAATAATTACGAATACGGAAATTCGACAACAGCATAATATTTATATTATCTAAAAAATGTAATACATGCAAGTTTTTCAATCTTTATAAAAAAAAAAAAAAAATGTCCACCAGAAATTCGAATTAAATTTTTATGAGTGTTTGAAATTTAAATTTTCACAACATTGGATTTTCACTGGATTTCACATTTAGCAGTTTTCTTATTTTGGTGTAACTCTAAAACAAATGACCGCAGGTACTTGAAATTTTCACTGAATGTTTATATAGGCATTTTCCATATTTGATAGAATTTTCGGTACTTGTTTGTTATCGCCCCGCATATAGTTATCGTGTTTAGCTCATGATAGATGATCTATTTTGGGAAATATTTTAGGAAATAACTACACTTTGCGAGACATTTTATATCATAATATCAAATAAATAATAATATTATATTAGTACGTTGCTGGCTTAATAAAATRYAATAATAAAAAGATATTTCTGAGTTCTGGCCTCCTTTGTAAATTTATATTATTATTTTTTTTAAATTTATAATTGTAATACATTTTTAATTTTAAATGACCTCCTTTGTAAATCTATAATAATAATAAATTTTTTTACATTTTTTTATTGAATTATAATATATTTTATTTATGGCGGGGCGATAACAAACATAGAGTGGCGGGGAGATAAATTTTATACGGTGTATTGGCGGGGTGATAACAAACAA